GGGTGTAATTAGACGGGGGATGAAGAACGAGGGAATACTAAAGGAAAAAGGGTGTAGCTTGATTGAAATGGATGGTGAGATGCACGAGTTTCTTGTGGGTGACAGGAGGCATGAAAGGTCGAACGAGATTTACGCCAAGCTGGACGAGGTGGTGAAGAGGCTGAAAATGGTCGGGTACAGCCCGAACACGAGTGGTGTTGTGGTGGATTTGGATGAGGATGAGAAGAAGGAAGTTGTTCTGTGGCATGGGGAGAAATTGGCATTGTCTTATGGACTGATTGGGCGGGAAATTAAGTCTTGTATACGTATTATTAAGAATCTGAGGATATGTGAGGACTGTCATGAGTTTATGAAGTTGGCTTCGAAGGTGTATGGTATGGAGATTGTTCTAAGAGATAGGAGTAGATTTCACCATTGTAAGGATGGTGTTTGTTCCTGCAAGGACTACTGGTGACTGACTGACCGAACGAGAGGTATTTCTAAAACTTATTAATATTCGTTGTTCTCAAGATACGATAGTGAGTATGTTAATTACGTATATATTTGTATGATTTTTGTTGCAGTTAATTCTTTGTTTCTGATTTTTTTTTTTTTTTCGATTTTGCTTAGTTTTCCTGGGGCAGTAGACTATGTTGCAATAAAACCATGTCAAAAAAGAAACTTAAGTTGTCATCGAGCAGCCGTTTAATTGAAGTAGAGAAGTTTGCAATGATTGTTATGCCCTTTTCAGTTGTTTAGTTTATTCCTCTGATCAATTCTACTTGCCCTTTTTTACCCCTCATTGACTTCTGACATCCATATCTTCTTTTGCCGTGGCCTGTGGGGTTTGCATGATGGAGAGGATACTTTGCCAGTAGGCTTTGGTAAAAAGACTGAAAGCATGGGTTATTTTATCATAGCATCTGAATACAATGTCAAAGCTTTCCGGCTAAGGATTAATATGGTAGCATCTAAATAGAATATCAAATCTTCCCGATTGTCATAAACAAATAAGAGGTTGCTTAAGTTTACTGGTCTAAAAGTTTCAATAAACACACACACACACACACAAATAAAGAATAAAGCATAAAAATTAGAATGAGAAATCTGGAGAATGGATCATATCTTTTATTGTGTAGCTTTATGTACTACTCTTAGAAGTTTTATTCTTTGCAGTCAGCACTTATCCACTTAATGTGCACACAAGGTGTAGTTATTTTTTAATTATTTGTCACAATCCATACTAAAAGTGAACGGAACTAATCAGTTTATTCGATCGGTTAACCAAAGTCGAAGTGATTTTTTATTTATACTATAAAAAATATATTTACTATTTTAATATTTTATATTAATTTTGATAATTATTATCAAAATTAATAATGTGCATCTCTGCAAACAATAATGTGCACATTGTCTAACATTATTGTGCAGTCTAGTGATCGGATATTTTTTATGTGCATCTCAATTTTATGAACTTTAATAACGTGTATTTCAATGAACGTCATTTTGCATTTATCAAATGATTTATATAATAAAAATATATTTAGTATTTACAATTTTTTATTTGATATTTTGTATTATTGTTTGTTGAAAATAAATAATATATATAGACAGATAAAAGATAAAAATTAATACTATTGTGCAATTTGATAGTCATTGATGCATCTCGTTTAAAATTATTTGTGTAATCTGCAGTGTTTTTTTTTCATGTGCAAATCCAAACTAAAACCGGTTCGGGCTAACTGAATTTATACAAATAAATAAAATAATTCAATTTTTATATTATAAAAATATATTTATATTTTTACGTTTTTATTAAATATTTTAAAATTATTTTGGGTTGAAAATACATATTTTATATACATATAAAAGATACTATTTTTTTTATATATTTTTATAAATTATAGATTTGACTCATGGACTAAATTGAAATATAAGCAAAATGTCAGAAATTACAATCAGGACCTTGAGACTAGTCTAATTTACAAACTCATCCCCTGCACAAATTGAAGACCTATGCAGCGATTTTCCCGTGTCCCTGACCGTGCGAACCACACTGTCGCGACCGGAGCTCTGCAACAATGCCAACGTGTTCCCTGCCGTGCGTCAGGTGCAAGGACGTGCGGTGGTTGGCGTCGTGCTCGCCGGCGAGATTGGCCCTCCGACCTCGGGGTGATTAGCATCGTGTTGTGTCGGTCAATGTGGCTGTGCGTCTGTTGGCGTCGATGTGACGGAAAACAACGGCGTTGCGATGTCGGGAACAATGACAGTGGACGGTGGCCGGTGGCGGGCATCCATGGCGGTGGTCTAGCTTTTCTATCGGTGTGTGTGTGTGTGTGTGTGTGTGTGTGTGTGTGAGTGAGTACTGTGTGTGTGGTCCGCGAACCGCGAACGGAGGTAAGCCGACGGGATTCATGCCCGACTGTGTGTGTATGTGTGTGTTCTGTGTGTGCGTGTGTGTGAGAGAGAGTGTGGGGGTGGGGTGGGGTGGGGTGACAGGTGGGTGTGGTTGGTTAATGTGGAGTGGGGCCCACCTCTATGTGTGGTGAAAAATTATCACAATGGTGGCCTTCCCTTAACGAATGTAAAATTTTGATTTTTTTTTAATTTGTTGGATCATCTGATCTAATAGATATGATCTAATGACTATGATGTATTCTTATTTCTTTCACTGAACATCTTCTCACCGCAGTGTGACCACATATATATAGCCATTACATCAGATAATCCAATCAGCAGCTTGAATAAAGGATAAAATTATACCTTCATCAAGGACATTGTTGGTAATTATCCATACCCCAACAGTGGGACCAACGCCACCACACACCTACTCACATGTGGGCCCCACCTAACACCTCACATCTCTCTCATGCTCTCTCTCTCTCACACACCCCACGCACACACCGTCACACACAGTCTTGCATTTGTAATATTAAGAATCTTAGGATATGTGAGGACTGTCATGAGTTTATGAAGTTGGCTTCAAAGGTGTATGGTATGGAGACTGTTATGAGAGATAGGAGTAGATTTCACCATTGTGAGGATGGTGTTTGTTCCTGCAAGGACTACTGGTGACTGACTGATCGAGAGGTATTTCTGAAACTTATTAATATTCGTATTTCTCAAGATACGATACTGTGAGTATATTAATTACATATATGTTTGTATGATTTGTTGGAGTAAATTCTTTGTTTCTGAAATTCTTTATGGATTTTGCTTAGTTTTCCTGGGGCAGTAGACGCTGTTGCAATAATATCATGTCAAGAAAGAAATTTATCGAGCAGCCGTTTAATTGAAGTAGAGAAGTTTGCAGTGATTGTTATGCTCTTTTCAGATGTTTAGTTTATTCCTGTTACCAATTCTACTTGCCTCTTTTTTCCCAATCCATTGTTTCTTTTGCCGTGGCCTGTGGGGTTTGCATGATGGAGAGAATACTTTGGCAAAAAGACTGAAAGCATGATTGATTTTATCATAGCATCTGAACACAATGTCAAAGCTTTCCGGCTAAGGATTAATATGGTAGCATCTAAATAGAATGTCAAAGCTTCCTGATTGTCATAAACAAATAAGAGGTTGCTTGAGTAGTTACTGCTCTAAAAGTTTCAACACACACACACACACACACACAAAGAGAATAAAGCATAAAGATTAGAATGAGAAATCTGGAGAATGGATCATACCTTTTATTGTGAAGTTTTATTCTTTGCAGTCAGCACTTATCCTCCTTTTGTGTATAGTTTTTCCTAATATGCTAGTGTTAAAGCTATATATATGTATGACTGTAAAATCATTAGACATCCTAAGACCAATAGTAATTTTTTTTTTTTTTTCTATTAATAAGATGCCTGATCACTAGATTGAGGTCTATCCCCACATAATAAATATAATAATAGCCTTGAGTTAAACACAAATACACAGAGCCATGTGGGTGGGCCGTGGGTGTAAATCATGGCTTTGTCTGCTTCCTTGAATATATGTATATTCACCGAATTAATAAGTCCAAATAGTGAGTTAGTTGAGTTTGTTGACCTTTATAATAAACTGCCGTTGACCAAAGTTGGGTAACTAATTATTCGAAAACGATACCAAGTGCTAAATGAGAGTATCTTCTTTGTCCATCTGCTGACTATTAATTCACGGATTAATTTAATTGGTTTCAAGTGTAAAAATGATGCAACTTGCACTGTGACAAATTAGGTACACAATATCATTAACCATTATGTTAAATAAAGCATTTTATAATAAGCATCATTCCTATGAGCTTTTTATTAGCTAATTTCTGGTTTAGTGGCTAATTAACGCAAATAGACTATAGTGGTTAAATGCATGCTTAAGATTCTTGTCTCTGTCTTTTACTTTGTTTTCCTTTTTCTTGAAGAAGAGATTTAAAGCACTCCTACCATTAAATATGCTATTTAGTCATCATACATGTTTGTTAAAAAAAAAAAAATTGTGGTTGGGGACAGCTGCATGATTCGGGGTCAAAATGCATGGAAATATCACAAAAACATCTCGTGGTGTTCATTCTATTTGTTTTCGTCTTAATAAAATTATCTTTTATCATAAATGTTTACTATATATATAACACAAATAACTGTAGTCTAAAAATTAAATAAATTAAAAGAATTAAAAATAAATAGTTTTATGTATGTAAATATCTCGAACAATTAATTTTCTTGTCTCTCATCTTAAAAATTTCCGTAAATGCCAATATTTTTTAATTCTTAAAATTAAAAATAATTCTAAGAAAATAACAAAAACAAACAATTCTAAANGGGAAGACTTGAAATTAAAACAGATAGGAAGCAGACAAAAAGCAAGACAGAAAGTCTCTAATAAATCAAGTAAATTATCAATCTCCCTGTACAAAACAAAGCAAGTCAAGAGACGCAATTATGAAATGATAAATCATATATATACTTTATTTAAATTGATGAGGTAGGAGCCTAAGGACAACAACTACTCCATTTTATCCCTCCCTCAAGACACCTTTGATATTTTTTTTTGGTTTCAATTGTAAACTAATAATATCCCACTTGTGACATGCTTGATGATCTTGAGTACTTCTTTGAAGAAGAAGAAGAAGAAGAAGACATGTCGCCCGATCTCCTCCTCAACATCTGCCTCATCCCATCGGCCACACGAACGGCCGGGTTCGATTTGTAGTTCCCACAAAACGACATGTGCGCCTTAATGGCCTCGTCCACTCCACACGACTGCCTTTTCCCACGCTTTATTTCGTCCATAACGGCTTCCGAACACAAACCACACAACCATTTCCCATCGAATTTCGCCTTCACGTCGTTAATGTAGTCCTCCGTGCACTCCTCCTTCAGCCCACAACACTCACACTTTACCATCTCAATATCCATCCCCTCACCCCTTTTTTTTGATAGATGATAAGTAGTTTGTGACACTTTT